ACCATTTTAGGGCCTCGAGCACGTCGGTGGTTTCGCGAGGACGATGCCGGCGTTCACTTAACGTTCCCGTTTTTATTCCACGGCCGTTTTTAAGACGATCTAAATCTAAGTAGATTTACATTCGTTTCTCTCCTTCCGTCATTCTAGTTATCATATTGTTGTAAACTGAGAATATCCTTCCCCTTTCTCCTTATTCTTCGTCAATTAATATAAAAATGTATTATCTCTCGTGTATATAAAGCCAAAGGTGCGGGTAATAATGCGAACGAATTTGCACGTATGAATCGTTTTATCTCAGTTATGTTATTGTGATAAATTGTCGGTTTGTTGTAATTGTTTCAAATCAACATTCGACGTTTATTCGTCGCGTACGATTTTCAATTCGCTACCATGAGACATTCTAATTACCGTATCTGCTATTCCTGCGTTTAAACAACGTAGGTAACATGTTTAAATCAAAAGTTCAGGAACATAATGGCGTAAGAGCATGCAACGTTTCCATAGACGGTGTCATAAAACATCGGATTAAAAGTTAACAAATGAATTAGGAAGTTGCTCTAAGAATAGGACTAATCGAGTCATCGTTTGCGTCAGACAAGGCTCTCTGCAATAATATACGTTCTTCGAAGTAATCGTCACGAGAGTTCTACGTGTGGTTACACGGAAGAAATTTCAATTCTATTCATGCAAGCGTCGGGATAATTATATACGGTATATTTGCGCCGAAATGGCAGTCGCGCGAGAGACCGTTGAATAATAGCCGAGCGCTTGAATTCTATTTTACTTCGATGATTAATGCGCCCGACGTATAAAATATATATTCAGGCAATAAGTCTTCGACACGATTTTACTTCAGAGAATTAATGCGAGACAAAAACACAATAATCGACAAACTAGAAGTTCCCGTTATATACGAATATCCCGAGTCGAGATTTCGGCTCTATGTTAAACTTTTAATATTAAAACGAGATCTGTAGAATTAAATTTTGAGGAAAGGGATTAATAAGCGTCGGTTCGTCGAAGGTGTTGTCGTTGGTTTTTATTTGGACAGTCCGTGTAGGTTATCGAAGCAAGCATATTTTTAAGAGCGTTAAAATAGCATAAAAATTTCGACTCGAGACGAAATTTTCGTTTCATTTTAAGTCGAATTTAATTTCACACTGAGTCTTCGAAGGTCTCTTATTGTGGTTCCTTTGACGCCACAAATGAGAAAGTTATTGTTCTTTTCTCCGCTCGAAGACTTAGCGTAGAATTTAAAATTGCGACGCGGGAATGCATTGTTATTTCTAGCGGTGTCCTCGCCAATCCAATACAGCCGCGTCGCGAAATCATTTGTCCGTATTTGCTGTCGTAAAAGAATCTTCAGGAGAGACACGCCGATGCGCGCGAAGCCAATAAGAGGCGAATGCTTTTCGATACATTCGCACGTTCGCTCGGGCCAATTTTCCTATTACGAAAATGCCCGACGATGAAATCACTTACGGCCACGCCTTTTCCTCCTTACGCGAAACCAACATCGTGGTATGCGCGATATTGTTCAACTAACAAGACCCACCACAGCCGACATAGAACAACGAACGGATCGACGACAATGCGTTTACACGGGGTATCTCAGAGCCGAAATTTCGAGTTGTCAATGATTGAAAATGGTCGTGTATAGAGGCTTCTTCAATTAACAATTCAACGATTTGCGTGTTATTTGCAAAACGGTGAGAGACTTTTCTATTTCGAATAGTCTGATCTACAAGTATACAACTATTGTATTTAACAGCAAGTTCCAATGGTCCAAGTTCAATATATCGATGCCTGTCGTTAGGTACAACAATTGTCATATATTTGCAGACCGGGTCTCTCTGAACAAAAAATCTCTTCGCCACTTTACATGTTATTTGCGTGTTATTTGCGAAATGGTGTACGTTTTCGAGCGGAGAAAAGAGCAACAATTTCCTCATTTGTGGCATCAAAGGAACCACAATAAAAGGAACCACAATAAAAGATTATCAAAGACTCAGTGTGAAATTAAATTCGACTTAAAATACAACGAAAATTTCGACTCGGGTCTCGAAATTTTATGCTATTTTAACGCTCTTAAAAATATGCCTGCTTCGATACTGATGCTTGTCAATCCCTTTCTTCAAATTTTAATTCTATAGATTTTGCACGTTATTTGCAAAATAGTGTAGGACTTTTTTCTTCAACTCAACGAGTTCTACATCCCGACGAAGCGGGGGTATTCGGCTCTGAGAGACACCCTGTACATCGGCATATGCAAATTCGCACGGTCATTCGCAGCGTCTTACATTAAAGCCTGGGGGACAAGAGCCGCCCGTGACTATTGTGCGAGTGTGTGTCCTCGACAAGAGCAAGCAATTCCGACACGCGTGCGTATTAACATTAACCGATAGACCAACTCAGATCGCCACTGTCGATTCATACGTGTCCCCACTCCGCGAATAGTTTGGAACCCCCGGGGAAATCCGTCCATATTGGCATTCGGGAGCAAACGTTAGCTCCATTGTGCGAACGCCTGGTAGGCCTGCGCTATTAAAGACACTCTGTTCACTGAAATCGCGATATCAAAGCCTCACAAGATGCTAAATCGCAATAATAAGAAGCGATAATCGCGATTTTATCTTTCGGTGTTGAATCTAAGACAGGTTGGTCCGTAAACATATTTTCTTAGGGTCAAATTTTCAGAACTTATCGATACATACATTACACGCATGTACAATTAGAGGAAGATCGGCCGTACCGGAGCTGAGATAATTGATGTCAAAATTAGCATTATTTGCAGGTGCGGAAAACATTTCCAATATTGCATTTTTAATTTTAACGGCCAAACTATTGTTACGGTTTTAATGAAAAACAAACAGACAAACGAGCGAGCACCTGATTTTTTAAGGTGGCTTCTCTCTTGTACACTAGATGGCATGTCGACTTTTGGATTATCTTTTCTAATAAACGGTATTACTTTCTTGATAGTAGGCTATAGATTTTTGGAGCACCTAATTTATACATATTTGTTTTCTTATAATCATTTTCACGATTCGTTCTTTTATTTGGAGGACTAAGTTAAGCCTTCCACAACCTTAATACCATATTTTTTGCTGCACCGCTCGAACACCTAATTTCGGGCTTCGATGTTTAAATAGCGTCTAACAACAAGCAATACAAAAATGCGTTTCCGTTTTACACTTTCTGTCGTGGATTTTTTTTCACGACTGTGCTAACTTTAATCTTAAACTAGTGAATAGCGCTAAATTTTTTTATCAGTACGAACTGGATTTGTGATGGTCGAAGTTCTGATTTAATATGGGTGATTTTTAAATATTATACAAGTCTGATTGATATTTTCTTACTATGACGTCAAAGCTGTATATCACACACATCACATTTATAAACATTTAACGGCGATTTGTCGAATTTTGTGTGTTATGTATTTTAAATTTATTTAAGTATTATTTACCTTTTAACTTATTAAATTTATTTAAGTATTATTTACCTTTCGAGCAGTATTGTCACGGCTCAGCTATTCCTCGACTGATCGTATGATGCATCGTACGTCGTAAAGATAAATGAATATTTCCGACGCCGCTTTTCAGCACCCAACTAGATTTTAAGCGGATATTTTCTTTGAATATCGGATGAGGAAATTACGGGGGCAACGTGAACACGGTTCAAAAAGTTTCCGGCCTGCGAACGATCAGGCACGCTTCGTATATACCAATCGATTGTAAGCGGGCGAGTAACCGTCAGCGATTCGTTATACAAATGACTTCTGCTGAAGCTCGCGTACGCCGAATGAAAGATTATCCGCATCGACGATGCTGATATAGTTATCCGGCCGCTGTAATAGAGTTGGACGATTTAATATCGATCAGAGATAGACAATATCAATATCACAGTATCGATACTGTGATATAGAGTGAAATAGGGTTTTCCTCCGCAAATTGCTGGAGAAATCCCTATTTTTCTGAGTGAAATCCTAATTTCCCTACGTATCGATACTGATCGCCCAACTCTAATATCGATACATAGTAAGGAAGTAAGGATTTCTCCCAGAAAATTTGGGTTTCCCCCCGCACTTGGAGGAAGAAAACCTTGTTTTTCTCGGAGAGAACCCTATTTCCCAATGTATCGATATTGTATCGATGCTATATCGTCCAATTCTACTGTATAAACACGGAACACCGGTGAGTTATCGATACACTTATCCCGCGAACATGACCCTACTCAAGAGAATTCCGGCTTCCGGTGGAATAAATTGCGCGTGGCGTTGTCTTCGACGATAAAATAATGTGCCCCCCCCCCTCCCCCTCCTCATCAGCCTTATTAGGACAGAAAGCGAGGAGAAGGGTGGCGACGCCCTTAAATGAGTTTATCAAATTCGATTACGCCGTAAAGCTGTTATCGCGTCTCCAAGTCAAGACGAGTCACAATTCACCGATGCGAATGCGACTCGAGTTCACACGGAGGGCTTCCCGATCGGAGAAGAGAACCTCCGACCGCGAGTTTACGTGCTAACAACAAAGAGGATCTCGGCTTACCATTACGCGACGGCGACGTACAGGGTGATTCACAAATGCATGTCACCAGTTTCAAGGGATACCGGGTTGATTGATAAGTCCTTAGAATGAAAATGAAAAAAAAAAAAAACATTTTGTCAGCAAAACTCAACTTTATTCCTCAACATAATCTCCTTTCAGCACAATATACCGAGTCCAACGAGTTTCTAGTTTCTTTAAGCCTTCCAAATAAGAAGTTTCTAAACCGCCAAAATATGCGTCTGTTTCCCATTCAACCTCTTCATTTGAAGCAAATCTCTTTCCCTGGAGCTATTTTTTGAGATTTGGAAACAGGTAGAAGTCACACGGGGCTAAATCTGGAGAATACGGAGGATGTAGGAGCAATTCATACCTCGATTCGTTCAATTTTGCCATTTGCTTTTACCGATTTGTGAGCTAGTGTATTGTCTTAATGAAAAAGAATGTTTTTCTTCGCTAAATGAGTCCCTTTTTCTCGATTTCATCATTCAATCGGTCGAACAATGATGCATAATATTCTCCTGTGATAGTTCTTCTTTTTTCAAGATAATCGATAAGGATTATTCCATGTGCATCCCAAAACACAGTAATCAGAAACTTTCCAGCCGATCGTTGCGTCTTTGGTCGTTTCGGAGCATTTCCACTTTTTGGAACCCATTGTGCCGACTGTTGTTTGGATTCAGATGTATAATGGTAGATCCATGTTTCATCAACGGTTATGTATCGACGCAAAAATTTCTTTGATTTGCGCCTAAACATGTCCAAACAATACTGAGAAGTGCGGACTCGTTCACATTTTTTATCAATTGTTAGCAATCGCAGCACCCATCTTGCAGTTAGCTTTCTCATACCCAAATGTTTGTGTAGGATATTGAACATACATTCAGATGAGATGTCCACAGCGGCAGCTAGTTCACGCAATTTCACTTTGGGGTCATCCAACACGATATTATGGATTTTTTCACTCATTTCTGGTGTAGTCTCCTCATTTGTACGACCACTGCGTCGTGCATTCGATGTGCTGGTATGACCAAGTTTAAACTCAGCAATCCAGTTATATACGGTTGCATTCGACGCAACAGATACCCCCATAATTTTTTGGAAGTCCTCAATCATTTATTGCGGTTGCAACCCTTTCAAATAGAAATACTTAATCACTGCTTAATCGCTGCACGAATTTCATTTCTTTCCACTTTTACAAAATATCAGAGGTTATGTGTTTTCGGTGGCCGTCACGAATATACTGATTGTCACAGCTGTCTGCAACTGTGTAGTGAGATGTTTGAAGGTTGGCACTACTGGAAATTCACTGCGCATTAGAGCTGTCAACACCACTAATGCGTCACTCTAAAGACTTATCAATCAACCTGGGACATTCACATGTCGATTCTTCCTTATCTTAGCGTGTCCATTTGCCCCTTGAAATATGGGCATGCACTTATAAATCACCCTGTATATTACAAACCGACACATCGTTGAATTTACCAGCGTCACACCGTACGGCGGGGAGGAAGGCTAGAAAGGAGAGAGCGGCGATCTTGTGTGATGAAATTGTGTGACAGTCGTCACACAATGGAATGCCGTTCGACGGTCTCGGCGGTTTAAGGGGTTAAACGGCCATTAGTACGCTAATTGAGTAATACCCCATTCAACTAATACCTGTTAATTCCTACTAATATCCCGATCTTGCACAAGCGGAATTCCCCGGCGGTTTATCCCGCCGGTTCGACTTTCGGGCGTGAGCATTCGGGCGAATTTCCGGGCGAATTTCTCGTCGTCGTAGTCGAGACCGTTACCGTGTTGATAGCGGATTCGCTTAAGGCTCTCTCTCTCTCTCTCTCTCTCCCTTTCGCACGGCTCTTCCGTAAATTTGCGACAGCGACTCGCTCGCTCGTTCGCTCGCTCGCACGGCGCGCCCTCGCGATTTTACATCGCTCTCGGGAAACGGCCGGCGCGCTCGCTCTTATGAAGCATGAATATTTTAGTGCAACCGTCTTTAGCGTCGACTACGCTAGCGGTAGCCCGCACGAGCAGTACACGCCGCCGGGAAGATGGTAACCCGACGTTGTCGTCGTCGGCTGGCGAACAGACCCGCGAAGCACAGCCAATTTACTTCTCTCTCGATACCGCAATTAGATCATTATGTACAAACTCCGGTAATTGGACCGTATGTTTGCGTTCATACGCGTTACAGACGATAACGAGTTGATAGCACAGAGAGAGAGAGAGAGAGAGAATGGAGGAGCAAATAGCGAAAAAAGGCAAACCAGTCGGCCGGGAGAGAATAAATATGAACAACTCGGCGGAAAATCCGCGCGCTTTTCCATTCCCGGCCCGCGTATAACAGCGAGAGACGGGAGTTTGTTTATGAAATTTCGCATCGCGCATCAACGTTGAGCTTTTCGAGCGACTTTCCGCCCGGCGTTCGATCGCGATCGGGAAAATTAGACGATGATAATGAACACAGAGGTAAAAATCGTCGGGTATAAACAAAATTTCGGGCGCGCCCGTTGTTTCGCGAAGGCAACAACACGAACGGTGCGGAAAATCGTTCCTCTCATCTCCGGTCCCGGAAATTAGAATGAAATCATTTCATTCGTCTCGCGCGCGAGCGTCGAATAGCGCGCCGGCGATGCCGCAGTGTGATAGCGGTTGTTAATCAACAACGATGCAATGACACACCGGATGATTCGAACGCGGCCTTTATTATTCACGGACCTCAGGCGGACACGCATGCATCCGCGTTGTTAAAATCCGCGTTTATCGGACGGCTGTATTAAATTCGTGAAAAAGGATTTGCCAGGACGGCGCGATGGATTATTATTCCAGCACCGTCGGCGCCAAGAATCCCCGATATTAAACGGCCCGAATTTCGTATATTTTAATATTCGTGCGCGGATTCGAAGCGAAAAGCGCGCCCAACGGCAAAATGTGAAAGAAAAATAGAACAAAAAAAAAGGAGAAAGAGGAAAAACAACCGTGTCGCGTATGTTAATGAATTCCCGATGTCCGACCGCCCCCCCTCCCCTTCCGGGAAGCCGAATCGAATAAATCCGGACATCGTGCATTCCGCGAGTCGTGATAAAAGAAAGCAAACGGACACGCCCGGCCTTACGCGCGAGTTCCTCCACTTCCGCTTCGACGGTCTCCCTGGCGGAGCGGAAAAAATATCGGTGCGACGACGACAATGAAGCGCCGACTCGGAAAGTAATTATTGACTTAATAATTGAAACGTGAATTTCACACGGTCTCTCCTTCCCGTCACATTCCGGGCAGCCGGCACCTGGATGAATGCTGTTATCTTTGACAAAAAGCGAGCGAGTTTAGCAAAAGAGAGAGAGAAAGGGAGAGCGTCGGAGGAGGTAATGACGTGGCAAATTCCTTTTTCATTAACGCATTCCTCCGGTCGCTCACAATTTTTCCCTACACGCGGATCGCCGAGTCTCGCGCGGGAACTTCATGCGCGAATTTCACGCACTCGCCTCGCGGATTCTTCATACTAAGTTGGTAAGAAAGTTATGTCGTTTCTTTGAGGAAATTTCAATTTCTTATATTTAAGCTCATAAGTGAGATTAATTAATGAAATATTGACCACTGTTTTCTATGACCTTCCTCCATCTGTCAACAAGGTCATTTATGCCGGATTTATAAAAGATCCTATCCTTTGAAGCCAGGAAATCTACCCCTGCCCTCTGAATATCCCGAAAATTTCGAAATTTTTTTCCTTTAAAAAAATTTTGCATCGAGAGAAACAAGTGGTACTCAGATGGTGCCAGGTCAGGTAAGTATGGTAGATGTAATAAAACTTCATAACCAAAAGCCTGGAGCTTCTCCTTCGTCCTTAAAGCCACGTGAGGCCTGGCATTGTCATGTTGGAAGACAACATTTTTTCGGTTATACAGTGCTGGACGAAGTTCACGTATTTTTGTATTCAGTCGGATTAGCTGATCACAATATAGGTCTGCTATGACAGTTCGATCTGGTTGCAAGAGTTCCCAGTGGATAGGACCTCGACAATCCCGCATCGCATTATGACCAAGTTGGAACTCATAAAGCATAGAGTGCCTAAAATGAAGTTTTTCTTGATCCATCATATGCCCCTATTTCTCAAAATTTAATGATTAAAATACACCTGTAATATCAAAAATCAAAACGTAGAACTACTAGCTTTCGATTAATACCAAAATTGTCTAAATTGCACAAAGAACAACGAAATAATAAACATTTCAATTGGAGCAACAGAAAAACGACATGACTTTCTTGCCAACCTAATAAATCGAAGCGGCGGCTCGATCGTTCTCGCATTGGTCGCCATATCGCGTGGTGAAAACAGATCAAGCAAGTATCCAACCGATCGAGGGAAAAGGGGGGAAAAGGAAGGAAGAACAGGATACAACGGTAGATGGGAAATTTACAGCCGAAAGAGTGTGCGTCGGCGCGAACCTGCGCGCCCTTTCAACCCTTTGAAGCACGCATTTGCCCTCCCGCTTATTTTTCGTCAAATTTGGCAGCCAGCCGTTTTCGGAGCCGTTAGTCACGAATTTGAGGTCAAGATTGGGAAATGTTTTAAATCTAAAGTGGCGGGTCCAAAATGAATCGAATCACTTAAAATTTGGTATCAGATTTTGTCTATGCTACAGATTATAACATTTTAATCCCTCCAATTCGTTCTCGCAATATCGCATTTCATAATTTGTACTCGGAAGCTTTGAAAGCCATAGACACTGAGTTTTCGCATGTTGGATCCACTATTTTGTATTCATCATTTCGAATTTTGTAATTTTTCAATTTCGATCCCGAATTTCGATTCGTAATCAACGACCCGAAACCTCTTTACATATCACATTTGAGAAAAATTGCTCAATTGCAGCGATTTCAGTCCGCTATATTAACCACAATTTTAGATTTTGAAAATTTTGTAATTCTGACATCAGAATCGTAATCGACCTCAAAATATCTTATATGTTGATTTTAACACTTAAATTTCGGCAAAGTTACTGGAAAATGTATTTTTTCTGAAAAAAAAAAACAGGCATTTTTCTAAATTTGATTATTTATAACACTTTTGTAGTTAACAAAGTGTGTATTTTGGCGATTTTTTTACATTAACTTTTCCCTAAGATACTAGAAAAATAAAAAAAAGAGTCCAAATACAGCAATGAATATTTTATTCAAAATTTCCAATCTTTATTTTTTCAGATTTCTGTCAATAAAATATTCATTGCTGTATTTGGACTCTTTCTTTTATTTTTACACTTCCCACCATGCTTCCAAGGGTTAACTCATTAATACGGTTTTACGGTCATAAGTAAGCCCAATCTAAAGTGGAGTCTACAATGAGAATGTGAGCTTTAAGCCGTACGAAATGGACCGATTACAATTGATTATTCTTCTTTAATTCGACTAATGTTGGTCAATTTCTTACGGTTTAAAACTGAAATTTTCATTGCAGGCCCCGCTTTACACACCACCGCGTTTAAGTTAAATCGCACAGTTTGCATATCGCCTTGAATTTCAAGCGGATACGACGATTACCGGCGTCGCACCGCCCGTACAATTCCACACGTCATATGTTTATCGCGTAACATGTCGACGTCATAATTCTCACCGCAGTCGACTCGCGCGGATCGCAATTCGCGAGGAACCCGATTTAATGCCTCCTCAGACGAAAGGTGTGGTGTCTGAAATATCCCGCGAAATCGAAGATTGTCTTCGCACGATGAAAGCGGGACGGAGAATTTGCCGCTGTACGTCCGCTGAACCGGAGAGAACGGAAGACGCGCAGCGTGTGTGAGCGCGAAGGTACTATCAGCGACCTCGATTTTAATGGTACCTTTGCGAATATATGTCGTGTCTGCGTGCGAGTGTGTAGGTAGATTATAAAGCCCGCCTTATACCGTCAGCATTTTGCTGGATATTAAAGATCAAGGCAAACATGACTCACGTACGCGAACTGATAACAACGCGAACGAAGAAACGATCCTTTCAGTACGGTTCTCGATGATGCACGTGGCTAGAATCCTCACCGAATTCGTATTGACAATTTATCTATTTGCCGAAAGGAATGAGAAAGCTCGTCGCCGGTCTCTGCA